TCTCACAATTCTTCTAGGTTAGGATTATCATTTGCTGGATCACATGTCCTTCCGTTTCCTGTGTTTATCCCCACTATTGTGTATTCCATTCTCTAGTAACTTCCCAACAGTGTGTAATAGATTAATTTGTTAGTCTTTAAATGTTTGTAAATATATCTTACCCTAAGCTTGCATGATGATTTGGGAGGTTGAGAAATATAGGTTGAGAATCACTTTTCTGTAGAGCAGGGGTCTGCAAACTTCTGTAAAGGCCAGATAGTAAATATTTTAGGCTTTGGGGGCAATATGGTCTCTGTCACAACTACTCATATCTGCCTGTGTAGCATAAAGGAAGCTGTAGAAAAGAGGTAAATGAATGAATCTGGCTGTGTTCAAGTAAAACGTTTTTCAAAAGAGGCGGCAGGCTAGATTTGGCCCATGGGTGTCATTTGTCAATCCCTGCTGTAGAACTCTGAAAACATGTTCTCTTGTATTCTCGCATCTTGAGTTGCTAATGAGAAAGCTGATGCTGGATTGATCCTCGTTCCTTTTTATGTCGCTTCCTTCCCCTCTCCCTAACTGGGAACATTTAGAATCTTCTTAATTCTTGCATTCTAAAATTTCACAATAATATGTACAGATGTGTGTCTTTTCTCATCAGTTTCTGGGCATATGGAGGGATATTTTAATCTGAACATCTGAGTCCTTCTTCAGCACAGGGAAATTCTCCTCCTTTGTTTTATAGTTCTTTCTGTTCTATTATTTCTAATCTTATTTTCTGGAACGATTATTGGTCTGATGATGGTCCACTGGATTCACCCTCTTTGTATCTAATGTTTTCTTTTTTGGGGGGGGGTGGGGTGGGGTTCTTTGTCGTACTTTTTGAGAGGTTTTCTTCAACTATATCTATTAAAACTTTTATTGATGTTTGTTTTTTGTGAGTAACATTTAAAAATATTTTTCTTGCTCTCTAGCTTTCTCCCCTTCTTTTGCCAGACTAGATTTACTATGGAACTACTGACCACATGCTTGATTTCTGGAAGTTGCTGGGAGTTTTAGATTGTTCTTCTAAGTGGGAAGGTAAAGCTAAGTTACAATCAGGAAGCATTTCTATAAAAACTTTCCCAGCTAAATAGATCTCAAAAGAAAGGGATTTGAATCTCTAAGATTCTGTATTTTAATTTGTGACATTTTCATAGATAAATTATCTATTTTGGTACCTAATTGTACATTTCTAATTTTATATTTTTAAAAAGCAACTCCCCCTCACCCAGATCTCTGGGGCTAGAAACACCAGAGCAAGATGGCTGGGCCACAGCAAACTGCACGCACTGTTTTGTGGTCATGGAAGATGTTTGAGAAGATGGGGTGGTCACATGGGCAGAATGCTGAGGGAAAATTCCTGGACGGTTCTCTCCATTTGGGAAGACCACCTTGTTCTGTAGAGCAATGTTAACAGCCCCCCACTTTATCAACTTTTCTGTCTCAGTTGACATTTAGTGGGTGTTACAAATTCAATAGTTAATTTTGACTGATTTTTTCTCTGAAAATATAGTACTTTTTCTTTGAAAAAAATAAAAATATAAAGGCCCCAGTACTAAGTAAGCTCTAGGTTATACAAAACTTAGATTTTTATCTTATCTTAATTTTCCTAAGGGTAGTAATTAGCATTTTTTAAATTCTTTTTTTTTTTTTTTACTTTTATCTAAATACATACAATACATACATGAAGTAAAATAGGTCTATTGCAATAACTATGATTGACCAAGAATTATGATTAGCGCAATTTTATGCACCTGAAGCTCACTGTGAAAATTTACTGAGAGAAAATAGCTAAAGAAAATTTTAAGTAAAAGAATGATGCTTGTGTGTGTGTAGGGAGATGGAGCATTTCGGAATAGGACTTAAATTTTTTAGTTTTAAAATATACCATAAAGCTATAGTAATACAAATAGTGTATTTCTAATCCAGAAATACAGTCAATCTAAAGAAACAGAATAGGAAGTCCAGAAATAGATGTGTAGGTGTTTGTATTACGATCAATAATGTCGTAAAGAGAATTTAGCATAGTGAACCTGGCTCACCTAGTTCTCAACAGATATTTTTATTATCCTTATTAAGTTGATATTTCAAATCAATGTAATATAGAATAAATCATTTAAAAATTATCTTGAGACAGTTGCTAAAAATTCAGAAAAGATTAAATTTCATTCTTTGCTTCTACAATAACTAAAATAGATTTCAGTTTGATTAGCTGTTTCAATAGAAAAGGAAAACAAATATTAAAGAATGATATGAGCTAATATTTATGTAATCAAGAAGAATGTGAATGTCATATAATGTCAAAGAAGTAAACAAAATACTTGATTTTTGCCTCTTCTGTTAAATAAAATTCTTCCTCTAGGACTTTGTGAATAGTTGTCTTCAGGAAATCTTGGCCTGATATCTATGCCCTCTTCAAAGAAATCCACTTTTTCTGTGGGGATATATGACTATTTTTAAAATGTATCATGGAAGTTCCATCAGTAAAAAAAGATAGTCATGAGTGAACTAGAGTCTGCAACAAATGTACCTGAAACACAAATACTCTTACTTGGCATATTCACGTTCTTTTTATTTTAGAAAGATTTTTTTGTATTATATCTTTGAACATTTTTAATAAAAAGTAATTTGTTTGATTTAGGAGAACCGATGAATATCACACATTTCTTTCCCTCCCAAACTTTAAAGCAAGAAAGAAATAAGAGCCAGGAGACCGACTAGTAGAAGTCTAATATGTTATCTTTATTATTGTAAAGCCAGAAAATATGACTTGTGGGCGGAGGCCACATGGATTCATGACATTCCTCCTGAGTTAGACAGAGTCATTTCCTTGTCTCATGCCTCCCAGACAGCCCTCTTACTTGCTCCGCAGTGGAGAGCAGACTGTACCTTTCCTTAAACAGGCAGATCAGAAACAAGGGCCAAAGGCACCCATCCGCCATTTCCAGTCCCTTATTACAAATTCACCCATCAGATACATCACTCTGTCCCTGGAGAAAATGAAATGAAAGGACAGAATAACAATAAACTTGATGCTCCATATTGTTTTCTCTAAGAGAAATGAGTAGAGCTTCTCTCCTGTCAATAAAAAGACAAGGCAAGGGGAATAGGAGCTTTACAAAGATCTTTTGCTTGTCCAAACTTTAGTCAGGCTTCTAAGTCTTCTTTTAAGCCCATCTTTGCCTTTCCTTGTACAGTCCAGTTTCAGAACTAACCCTGCTAAGTCAGTTTAACCAGAGTCAGCTGCACCTCTGATAACTGATCAGATTCCTCAGGCCTCACCATCCTCCAGGTGATGTCTAATCACCCTGGCTGATCTTCAGCAAAGAATCCTGTCAAGTCAGTTTAGCCAGAATCTCCTGTACATTGATGTCTCCTCTTAGTCATTTTTTATTCACTGACCCCTACCCTGTTCCTTGGCAGTAAATTCCCATGTTTCTGTGCTGTGTTAGGCGTTGACCCCAATCTCTCTCCCCCACTGTAAAATCCCACTGTGGTGGCACCTATATCTGTTGAGACAGCCTTGATTAGAGTCTGCTTTTATCTTTAACAAGTGTTATTACATATTGTTTTCATTAAGAATTCTCAACATTATTGGGGGGGGGGGGGTGTTCCTGCTTCAGACATCAACTATACCAGACTATCTTTACCTAGATTTCATAATTTTTAGTCTCTCTCTGATTGTTTTAATCTCTGTCTTTTTCATCTGTCTTCATGGTGACTATTTCCAACTTTCCTCCATGTCAATTATTCACTCTAGAACCATGATTATTATGTTTCCTGCTTTTAGAAATTCATCTATTAGCCTTTGATCATATTGTTTAGATCCTCAAGTTGTTTAAATCTGCAATCTTCTCGTGTCTTTAAAAAAAATCTATGTTTAAACATTTTTGTTAATATTCTAAATAATTTGAAGCACTTTGGGGAATTTTCTCTCTATATAAAGAAAAAATATATATTCTTTGTTGTTTTCTACATGCTAGTTCTTCTCTCTCTCCTCCAATCTTTTCTCCTCTCCTTTCTTCCCTTCTTTCCTTGCTTTCTTTCTTCCTTTCTGTGTATCTTGCATGCTTGCCATGCTATTTTTTTTTTTTTCTTTCTAGCTTACTCATACTTGGGTGGCGGTGCTCAGAAATTTTATTTGCTCTGATAGACTGTGGGAAGATTCTTATGTCCCTTTCTACCATGCCTTTGACATATTTACTTTCTCCAATGCTCCACAGTTTGGATGTTGTATTTTTAGTGATCCATCTATTTTTTTGTAGCACCAAAGCACATTAGCAGCCTGGAGAAACAGCTCAGCTAAAGGGGTGTGGTGCCATTGTTGGAAGACCTGAGCTCTGTTCTCACCTCCAAGAGTGTATAAACCAGTGGAGCCATTTCAAGAACCTCTCTACCTAGATGGGGGTTGCATTCCATTCCTAGGGGAGAATGTCTGCATTTCAGGTAGGATCTGCAGGTTGGTATTTATAGCTCTGGATTTTGTTTCCTGACATTTTCTCACCAATTTCTCTCTAGAAATCATTTGTGGTATTCTTGAGTCAGAAGAGGGGAAAGATGGTACCTTCACCACTCTACATTTAGTGCCTTTTAGATGTGGGGTGTGGTTGGTAGAATGTCTCTTCTCTCCTCCAAATTTGTCTATGCCCTAATTCCAAAAACCTGTGACTATGTTATGTTACAGGATAAGAGGGAAGGTGTAAAGTTACTGACCATAAAGTTAGAAATTACGTTGGATTATCCAAGAGTGCCTAGTCTAATCACATAAATCCTTAAAAGTAGAGAACTTTCTGTAGCCAGAGGAAGAGATGCCACTGAAGGAGAAGTCAGAGAGATTCAAAGCATGAAGATGACTCAAAGGGATGTTGGTAGTTTGAAGATGAAGGGGGCAACATAAGGAGGCTCCTGGATGACAACGAGCAAAGGCACAGGGACCTCAGTCCTGTAGCCCAAATAATTGAATTCTGTCAACAGGCCGAATGAGCTTGGAAAGAGACCCTTCCTCTGAGCTTCCAGGTAAGAGTCCAGCTCACCAACAGCTCGATCTCAGCCTGTGAAACCTGGGCCAGAGGAACCACCTGAGCTCACCACACTCCTGACCTACACAACTGTGAGATAATAAATGTGTGTTGTTTCACTCTGCTAAGTTTGTGGTAATTTGTTATGGCAGCAATAGAAAAGTAACACTTGGAGGTATTAGAAATGTCATGATTTTAATAACTGACTAGTTTGTTGTCAGGATGTGAGGGGGTAGGGGTAGGACTTATATTCAATGCTGACTGATTTTGCTTCGAGTTCTTTATCTTGGTACCTAGTTTTTTTTTTTTAGAAATTGATACTTTTAGACTCTGCCCCCTCTTTTGAGTACTACTGGTAATTTTTTTTTTTTTTTTTGAAATATGGGTGCTTTAATTCATGTGGTTTTGAAAGAGAACCAGTAGTATAGCTTCATTCAGCTCTCTGAATCCTGAAATTTCTTGCTAATTGAGTCTCTGGAAATAAGAGTGAGGGAGAATTCAATGAATCTAGAATCGAAACAAGTTATTGAAAATAAGGGCAATTTAAAAATAAGACAAATTATATCTATCTGTGTGTGATAGTTTATTTTATATGTCAACCTGACTGGGCCACAGGGTACCTAGATATTTGCTTAAACATCATTCCTGGGTGTGTCTGTGGAGGTGTTTTCAGAAGAGATTGGCATTTGAATCCTTAGATTGAGTAAAGCTGATTGCCTTCCCCTGTTGGTGTAGGCATCATCTAATCTGTGGAAGACCTTAGTGAAACAAAAGGTGAGGCACAGATTAATTTGCTCTTTCTGCCTGACTGCAGGGACTAGAACATTGATATTCTTTTGCTCTTGGCCTAGGACTTACACCGCTGATTCTCTTGGTTCTCAGGACTTTGGACTTGGACTGGAACTATACCACTGGCTTTCTTGGATTTCCAGCTTGCAGACCACAGAGTGTGGGACTTCTCAGCTTCCATAAGTATATGAGCCAATTTCTTATGATATCTATCTATCTATCTATCTATCTATCTATCTATCTATCTATCATCTATCTCCTATTGGTTTTGGTTTCCTGGAGAACCCTGACAAATACAGTGTGTATGTGTATTTATATGTACACACATATAACATGATATGCATTCAGTTTATTTATATATTAACGCTGAAAATATGGGTTATAAAATATTTTTAAATCTTCTTTCTGGAAAGGAAAAGTATAAAAGTCAGTATCACTTTGAGTTTTGAAGAGAATATCAGTAGTAGCTCCAACCATTCATCTTGGTGACAGAAATGAAAATTCGAATACAAGAATTAATTTCTGTTTTATTACTATAGCCTTATAGTATAGTTTGATATCAGGTAGTGTGATACCTCCAACTTTGTTCTTCTTTCTCAAGATTGCTTTGGCAGTTCAGTGTCTTTTGTGGTTCTATGTAAATTTTAGGATCATTTATTCTAGTTCTGTGAAAAATGCCATTGGAATTTTGATGGGGATTGCATTGAATCTGTAGATTTCTTTGGTTAGTGTGGCCATTTTAACACTGTTAATTCTTCCTATCCATGAACATGGTAGATGCTTTCATTTATTTGTATCTTTTTCAATTCCTTTCCTCAATGTCTTTTAATTTTCTGAATACAGACCTTTTACCTCCTTGGTTAAATTTATTCATAGGCATTTCTTTCTTTTTTTTTTTTTTAATGTAATTGTAAATGGAATTGTTTTCTCAATTTCTATTCCTGGTAGTTTGCTCTATTGGTGTATAAAAATGTAACTGATTTTTGAACATTGATTTTGTATCCTGCTACTTTACTGAATTCCTTTATCTGTTCTTGTCTTTTTTAGTGGAATATTTAGGGTTCTCTCTGTATAGTATCATGTCATCTGAAAATAATGACAGTTTTACTTCTTCCTCTCCAATTTGGATGCCTTTTATTTCTTTTTCTAGTCTGATTGCTGTGACTAGGATTTCAATACTATGTTGAATAAAATGTCATGGTACTGGCAAGAAAACAAACACATAGATCAATGGAATGGAGTAGAGAGCCCAGAAATAAACCCATACCTTTATGATCAATTAATTTATGACAAAGGAAGTAAGAATATACAGTGGGGTAAAGACAGTCTAATCAATAAATGGTGTTGGGAAAACTTCTCATACCATATGTAAGAATAAACTCAAAATGGATTCAAGACTTAAATATAAGACCCAAACCTATAAAACTCCTAGAAGAAAACATAGGCAATAAATTCTGACATTGCTCTTAGTAATACTTTTTAAAATTAATTTTCTTTATTGATTTTAGAGAGAGGAAGGGAGAGGGAGAGAGAGAGAGAAAAACATCGATGAGAGAGAACATTGACTGGCCACCTCCTGCATGCCCCAAATGGGGACTGGGCCCACAACCTGGGCATGTGCCCTGACCAGGAATTGAACTGGTGACCTCTTGGTACATGGGTCGATGCTCAACCACTGAGCCACACTGACCAGATGTTCTTAGTAATATTTTTGTTGATATATTTCCTTGGGCAAGGGTAACAAAAGAAAAAATAAACAAACAGGACTATATCAAACTAAAAGTTTTTGCACAGCAAAGAAAATAATCAACAAAATGGAGAGGCAGCCAACTGATTGGGAGAAGATATTTGCCAATAATACCTCCAATAAGTGTTAATATCAAAATTTATAAATAACTCATACAACTTAACACCAAAAACCAAACAATCCAATAAAAAATGGGCAGGCCCTGAATAGACATTTCTCTAAAGAGGACAATAGATAGATGGCCAATAAACATATGAAAAGATGTTTAACATCACTAATCATCAGAGAAATGCAAATTAAAACCACAATGAAATATCATTTCACATCTGTCAGAACGGAATTCTTTTCTTGAGGTTCTAGGGGAGAATTTGCTTCCTGGCTTTTTCCAGCTTCTACAGATTGCCCACATTCCTTGGTTTGGGGGGGCCCCTCCTCCATCTTCAAAGCCAACAACAAGATGTGCTTCCCTTGTCACATCTCTTTCTCTGATTTCCTTCTTCTATTTTCTTCTTCCACTTTTAAGGACCCTTGTGATGACATTGGGCCCACACAGACAGTCCAGGGAAAATCTCCCTATTTTAAGGTCAGGTGAACAGCAACTTTAATTTCCGTTGCCATGTAATATCACATATTCACAGGATCCAGGGATTTGACCATGGATATCTTTAGGGTTGGAGTGGGGGAGAAGCAATGTTCTGTCTATCACATGATCCTTTAGCATGTGCTTGTCTTTTCTTATAAGGTAAAATAAAACTCTGATTTCTTGTTGTTGTTTTTTCTCTAGGCACTCCTCTCTCTAGAAAAGTCGCTTTCTTGCCTGTTACCCCCACACTCCTCACCCCCATCTCTTCCTCACCTAATGCACTTCTATACCCATCAGCGTAGCTGACTTCCCAGCCTGATATTTTTTGGCCTGCCTTCTTCTTCATCTGTTATCAACCACAATTTTGAATTCTATGCACATCGTATCATTTGTCTTTGAGCAAGCCATTCCATTAACTTCTTTGTAATGTTGAGAGTTATGTGGTTAAAATCAGAGAGTTAATCATAGTGAGCAATTATAATGTGCCCTCCTAGGGTTTCCATCAGTGAAAAGGAACCAATACTGCCCTTCTGCTTAGTGTTATGCAGTAATAGCCACTGTTATTAAAATTGCAGTGCTAATTTATTCATTGCTTTGTTTTTCATTTAGCCTTACCGCAGTTAAGGATAATGTTAGAGGTTATGTACGAAGGAGTTGTAGAACCAGAAAGTGTGTAAAGCAGTGCACATTATTATTTTAAATTTTTATAAGGTGTGCAAAGTCAATCAAGATTATTTCTATTTGCACTTAGAGGGAAGGTTGGTAGAGAAAATTTTTTTAAAAGAGAAAAGGCCAGTTAAGCCATTAATCATGTGAAAACAGGAAAGAATATTTTATATTACCTTACATACATGAAAAATTAGGTGAAAATTTCACAACAAATCAGAAAAACTTACTGAGTTCATGGCTGAAGAATTTTTCAGTGGTATGGAAATATTTTGTTATATAAGTTAAGTATTTCATTTAATTCTATTAAAAGTCGGATTTACAATAAATGAGAAAATGATCTAAAGACACACTGATGACACTAACTTTCTGAAATGGCAACCTGGAAAATTCTATTTTAATTACAGTTAATTCTCATTTTTCTTTAGTTTTTATTCAACAGGCAAAGCAGTGTTCATTCCCATAAGTTAAGAATTTGAACCTTAAATTAGTTGTGGACAAGAATTAAACCAACCTAGAAATGTTTAAATTTTCTTACTACAGTAAACAAGTTTCAAGTTTCTCTAAAATATATACTATTTTGAGAAAAGATAATAAATAAGGAAATATGATAAAATAATATGCACTTTTGTAGTTTAAAAAAAATGCCATTAAAAAAAACGTCAGGATATCAGCAGCAACAATGGTCATACCATAACAAGTGCTAGATGAAGCAAGTAGACTTGGTTTTGTTTCTTGGATTACTCTCAGGCTGAATTATCCACCTCTAAGACAAAGGTCAATTCATAACCAGATGACGCAGAAGAAGAGAAAGTCTCTAATGGACTTTCAGTTCATTTTTCCAATAGACAGCAGTTCACAAAAGAGTTAGGAGTTAAGTTATACCTTGGAAATGAAAGTAAATATCTGAACATGACCTCTCAGAAACTTAACCATTTACCCTTGTCCGTACAATAAATGGATTCTGTTTGGTGGTAAGTGTTAGATGTTGTTGAAAGCTTGAAATTCTGAGGGTGCTAGAGAATAGTGGGAGCAATCTGTATTATTTTATTTATTTATTTATTTACTTACTTATTTTTATCCTCACCCAAGGACATTTTTGCATTTATCTTCAGATAGAGCGGGAGGGAGCGAAGGAGGAAGAGAGAGAGAGAGAAACATCAATGTGAGAGAGACACATCGAGACATACAACCCCAACTGGGGCCAGAGACAAACTGCAACCAAGGTACATGCCCTTAGCGGGAACTGAACCTGGACTCTCTGGTCCATAGGCCAACACTTTAACCGCTGAGCCAGACTTGCCAGGGCACAATCTATATTATTAATTTTGGTTTTTCTTCTAAGGATTAAAATTGAACTACAGGTTTATGATGAGCTTTCTAAGGCATTCAGTTGAATTCATTTTTGCTTGGCTGATTCACTTTAGTAGATGGAATTGCAATGTGGTTCTACAATAAGATTTAAAAGCATGTGAGTAAACAAGTCACTTCAGAAATTGTTAGTGCCCCTGAAGTTCCAAATCAGCCATTTGTGAAGCAATTCGCTTGTAACATTGGCAACAAATTTGATTAGTCTACTATTTACTTATCTGACAGTTCTAATGTTTCTTTCTTCTCTCTTTCTTTCTTTCTTTCTTTCTTTCTTTCTTTCTTTCTTTCTTTCTTTCTTTCTTTCTTTCTTTCTTTCTTTCTTTCTTTCATCCTCACCCGAGGACATTTTTCCATTTTTTGTTCAGATAGATTGGGGGGTGGGGCATCGACGTGAAAGGCTGGGGACAAACTGCAACCGAGGTACGTGCCCTTAGCGGGAACCGAACCCAGGTCTCTCTGGACCAAAGGCCGATGCTGTAACCGCTGAGCCAAACTGGCCAGGGCTAATGTTTTCTTTGGAGGTATAATATATTAAGAAAAAGAAAGGCTTTTATTCAGAACCTTCTCTGCCCACTTTGCAACTTTCTGAGCCCTGGGCTAAAAGTGCTTAAAATGGTCACTGGTTGTATAATCTAGACTTATTTTATAGGCCCAAGATGTATCAGAAATTTGGGTGCAGAGAACAAATAAGCCATGATGTGAAATATTAAAAATATATGAATGGAAAAGGCAATCTTTTATTTCTTAAAATATTGACAAAATCTACTTAAAGAGCTAATATTTAAGAAGGAACATAAGCAGTATGATGAGGGGATT